TCGAGCGGAAATATATATTTTTTCGCAAAGTCTATTTAAATATGACGTTTCTATACAGAAAGTGACAGTAAAAAATAAATATACGCAGCACAGAGCTACATCCGTACGTGACGTCACTGCAAAAAAAGACCCCCCCCCCCGACATTTTTTTACGGAAATTCGCTTTAGATCTGACGTTTCTTTACCGAAAGTTAATCAAATAAATAACTCTACGCAGCAACAAAGTGTATGTCGTGTCTTTATTTATTTCTTCAGCGCTTGAAACAAAAGGTAAGTCGAATTTTTGCTTCTCAATTATGATAAAACGAGCTTTACTACCCGGCTTCGCCCGAGACTTGGATTCTTGTCTTGGATTAATACACGGCCTACGCGGAAGGTAGGGGGGGGGGATGCGTGACGTCAGCAGGCACACTGCGTGACGTCAGCAGGCACACTGCGTGACGCTGCCGCATGCGCGGGTGACATGACAGATGTGATGTCACAGCTCACTTGCCGTGCAAAATATATCCATTATTGCGCCCCCCCCCCACCCCAAAAAAATTCAAAAGTCTATTTTTATAATTTTTGCATGGTGTACAGTCTGGAAAGTACCCACATGGCAAATTTCAAGTTTGTTGCATGTCTGGAAGTACGCTAAATATTTTGAACAGACACACTCACAAATTCCCCTTTTTTATATATATAGAAGACTAGCTGTACGACCCGGCTTCGCCCGGGACTTGGATTCACCACACCCGACCGCCTTTGTCTCCCCAGTGGCGATGTTCATACCAAAACAGTTACTCGTTTAAGGCTGAGTCGTTTAAGGCTGAGTCGGTTCAAATAATCGTCACCGGTGGTGGCCGTGAGCGGGAAGCGAACTCTGGTCGCCGGGTTCATAGCGCGGCGCGCTAACCACTACACTACAATGCGTTAGGCTTCCACACACACACGAACACACACATAGACACATACACACACACAGACAGACACACAGATACACACACAGACAACAACAACAACCGCCATTCGCCACTAAGTGGCGGTGACATCACCACGACGCTTGTGCCAGGCCATGTGCACATTGAGGCCACGTGGAGTGTCGAACGCTCACTGGCAGGAGGTCACGGGGCAGACCCAGGTGCCACGGGTCGACTGACTGAGATGACTGGCTGATGCACCACTTGTGCCCCCTACTGTGCCAACCTGCTGTGCTTTAGCCACCCGGCGCTCCGCTCGTTGTTGTGAGCGTCGCTCCTCCAACCCAGAGCCCAGGCCTACTGATGGTATCATAGGCCTTGACCAGGTCAATAAAGCAGAGATGTAGGTCTTGCTGGAATTCCCTACACCTCTACTGTAGCAGACGGACAGAAAATATGGTATCCGTGCAGGACCGCCCTTTCCTGAAACCGCATTGGGCCTCCGCAAGCCTCTCGTCAGCGTGCCTGGTAAGGCGATGTTGAATAATCCTTGCCAGGACCTTTCCCAGCACACTGAGGAGTGAGATGCCCCTGTAGTTGTTGCAGTCTGCGGTCCCCCTTCTTAAAGAGGGGGACTACCAGGGCATCCTTCCAATCCTGCGGAACCTGTCCAGTGGTCCAGACTGTTGTTATGATGTCATGTATGGCAGTCTTGCACAAACGCCACCCTCCCTCAGCATTTCGCTTGGGAGATTATCTCTGCCCACTGCCTTTCCTGGTCTCAGATTTCGGATCGCCTTCAGTACTTCCTCAACAGATGGCACCTCAGCCAGCCACTCACAGGGGGTGACTTCTTCCAATATTTGAGGCACTGCAGCCTCAGCAGGGTCATCCTCACTGTGCCACGATGTTTTCCTGGCTGAGGGATTTCCCCTCCCCTAGGACCTCACAGAAATGCTCAGCAAATCTGAAAACCTGTTCCTGGGGGTTGCAGATTGGATCACCGTTTTTTCCCTTAATGATGGTAATAGGTGTTGCACTGCAGGTTACTTTTTTGATGGAGTTAAATAGAGATATGTGATCACGGGCCACTGAGGCAGACTCCATCTCCTCAGCAACCCGCGACCACCATCCATCCTTGCAGCGCCTCATGGCTCTCCGAAACTCTGAGCGAAGGCTGCGGTAAGCCTCCTCATTCTCTGACACAGACACACACACAGACACAGACAGACACACACACAGACACACAGACACAGTGCTCTAACCACTACACTACAATGCTTTACGCTTCCACATGGGAGGGTCCCGTGACAGATTTGACCTCACAGCTCACTTGCTGTGCAAACAATATATGCGTTGAGCTCTCCCCCCCCACCCTAAAAAAACTTAACTCTATTTTTATTATTTTTGCATGGTGTACAGTCTGGAAAGTACCGACATGGCAAATTTCAAGTTTGCGGGAAGTACGCTAAATATTTTGAACAGACACACATATTCACAACTTTGCCTTTTATATATATGGAGATATATATATGGAGATATATATATACATTTCTCCGTGATTATCCAGACATTGTATCCAATTCAAATTGATTACAACCCTGGCGAACGAAAGCAGAAGAAAATAAAGTATCAGAGCAGTGAATTTGAACTAATTGAAGGCGAGTTAAATGCAGTGCTACAGTGACATGAAGTGAGGTGTTTTATGACGTAGTTTCGTGCAAAAATCACTGCCATTAATACAGTACAAGAGATTCACGCAAAATATCGTATACCGAGGTTTCATTTTAAGTTAAGAAAATTTTATTTCATTGCAACAATTCCTATAAAAAAATTACAATCACAGGAAGACGTAAATGTACATCCTTAATATTACAGCTTCTGTTCTAGGACGGCCAAAAGGCTTATTGAAGGTCAGTTAAATACAGTGTTACAGTGACATGAAGTGAGGCGTCTTATGACTTCGTTTGTGCAAGCATCACGGCCATGAATACAATACTACAGTGAAATTCAGTGAAGTGTTTGATGACATCGTTTTGTGCAAGATTCACTGCCATTAATACAGTACTACAGTGAAATTCAGTGAAGTGTTTGATGACATCGTTTTGTGCAAGCATCACTGCCATTAATACAATACTACAGTGCATTTCAGTGAAGTGTTTGATGACATCGTTTTGTGCAAGCATCACTGCCATTAATACAATACTACAGTGAAATTCAGTGAAGTGTTTGATGACATCGTTTTGTGCAAGCATCACTGCCATTAATACAATACTACAGTGAAATTGAGTGAAGTGTTTGATGACATCGTTCTGTGCAAGATTCACTGCCATTAAATTTACACAAGATACAATTATACTCTGCTCAATTTCTTCGTAAATATATTACAGATTCCGTCCTAGGACGGGCAAAAGGCTAGTACAGTAATAATAGATAGAAACAACAGCTGATAGAAGAGACACGTTCAATAAAAAAAAAGATGCATGCACAAGTGATATGAGATAGCAGAGATATTCAGTAGCGATTGATTTGATTGTCGATTTTATTATTCGCACAAAAAAGATAATTGAAAGACAATGTGTCAATAAAAAAAGGTGTGCAGGGGAGGTTGGAAACCCAAGAGGGCTTATACGAAAAAACACCAAAAAAAGAACAATCTGTATGCAAAACAGATTGTTTAATCAATTAAACAAAGCATACTAATTACAATTAAACATGTTAAACTTACTTTTTGGTTCTTTCGGTAAAGTCACGTAGAAAGCAAACAAATTAAATAATAGAATACGACGTTTCGATTGCAACACAAGCAATCATAATCAGGTATGAATGAATTAAAGTTAAAACAAACCTAGTAAACTTAGAAATATAATGCAATACAACACAGAGAGTCGGCTAACATAACAGTCAACATTCATTCATTCGTACCTGATGATTGCTTGTGTTGCAATCGAAACGTCGTATTCTATTATTTAATTTATTTTCTTTCTACGTGACTTTACCGAAAGAACCGAAAAGTAATTCCTGCAGTCACGAATGCTCCAAATCATGTTCAACTTAGTGTTTGACAAAAAAATGTTTGTGTGTGCACATATGTGCTTATATGTATGTGTGAGTGTATGTAAGAGTTAGGCTCATCAGGCTGATCCGTAGTCTGTGCTTGAAGTTATTGAGGGATGATGATATTTTTGCAATGTAAAGAGAGGAATTCCAGAGGATGGAACCTCTGTTTCTGATAGAGACTTGACGATGTGTGGTGCGGCAGTGGGGAGGGTGGAGGTTATTGGAGTGCCATGTGTTGTATTAACCTGGAAGAGTACTTTGAAGGGTTTTGGTATGATGCCTCGGAGTTACGTGTATTTATAGATAAAGGTGCATATTTGGAGTATATTAATTTTGTATATTGACATGATATTGAGTTTCTTATACATATGGGCAGATCAGGTGAGTACAGCGATAGAGATGTATAAAACAGGAGAGAAGTTAATTTATAAAAGAGATGCAGGTGAGCGAGGCAGGAGAGAGGTCTAAGATTGAAGCCACAGCAGAGAGAGAGATATTTCGTTGAAACATAAGTAATTTTGAAATATATATAGGGAAAAAGCACATGGATGATGTACTCACCTGATCTGGTGTTTGAAGCCTTGCAGACTATGACAATTCTCAATAAATGTAAATGTGGGAGGAATTTTTGAGGAAAAGTTGTTAAACCACTTTTTACAAAGGATGTTGGTATGCTGGAACTAAAAAAAATGTTTTTGGTACGTTCGATTTTGGATCTTTTACGACCGAAATAACAAAAAAACGAAATGGGCCCCATGCAAAACATGTAACTTCTTAATGGTGGGAGATAAAGTCATGATCTTCGTGTCTCATACCATGTTTATAATACCTAAAAACACACTGAACACATCAGAATAGGGCTATCTTTAATTGATATGGGTGGAAACTGATTGCTGGCTTTCTACTTTGCTAATCCTATTCATGGTGCTAGTGATGTCCTGTGACAATACTTGAGCATCCAATTCAATTATAAACAGCTCATATGCATGTTCAAATGTTTTTTTATTTTTCAGCCAGTGGAATTTCTGGAAATTATCAAGTTTTGTGAAGAATTGGGTCAGGTTTCCCAAAACTCCCCCCAGGAAAACCAGATGCAAAACAAGACGTGGACCACACTTCCTTTGGGAATGGATTCGGGGATATTTAAATGAAGATGAGAAGGTGTCTCACGCAGTCCCGTTTAGACGTCGTGTATCCTCGTGACGCTACTCAACTCATCAGCGTGAGTGTTTCCCTTTGTTTTCCCGTCTCTTCACTCTCCTCGTGTCCCATTCACAGAGGGGTCATGCATCTTTGTGGCAAAATTATCTTGATGCTGACTATGATGCATCCTCGTCTTTCCATGTCTCCACATGCCTTCCCGTATTTCTCGATGTCCCCTTAATTCTGCCCGTGGTTTACATGCATCGTTGTCTCTCCTGTCTCCCCGTGTATTATAGGTCTCCTATCACTGTGTCTCCACGTGCGTCTGCCACCCCCTGCGTCTCTTTGTCTCTTCACACATGTATCCTTGTGTCTTTCCTCTCTCGCTGTATCACTATAGTTTCCGCTTATCTCCCTGTGTATCTTAGTGTATCTCTGTGTCTCCCCGTGTCTTGTTCACAGAGGGACCATGCATCTCCTCGCTAGGATCGCCTTGCTCCTCTCTCTCATGTCCACCCTGACCAGCGTCGTCGCCAACGTGGGCAAAACCAACAGCAGCGTCGCACAGCCCAAGAGGACACGTGCGTACACACACCACACCAGGGAGGCCCTCCCCTAGGTCGATTCAGTCTTAAAAATATCAATGCCTTGCTTGTCCGTTGTGGATCTCTATGTGCTGGTGTTAATGCATATTTATATACATGCATATTTATATACATGTATATTTATATACATGTATATTTATATACATGTATATAAATATGTACTCTGAACCAGTGGTGGGATTTGCTCGCTTTTTATCGGCTTTAGCGTCACACTCCACTGGTGGCAAATACTTTCTTCACTGATAGTGATGAGAATAGAATTTTCCCCTTTTTTCTGGCAACAAAAGAGGTGTTAAGTTGTTAAAACACCAAACTGAAACCTTTAACAAGGAATCATGTCTGCATTAACCACAATACTTGTGGTCAGAATGCAAAAAAAAATACTCTGATAATATATGCATTGTCTTTGAAACTGATTGGTCCACACCAGAGACAGCTTCGAGTCTCATATTTTGGTACTGGCAAAGGAGGTCCCACGATGATAGTGTTATTTTTTCTTTCGTTTGATGGTAATTTATTGTAAGTGTTTACCACGAGCCTTGACGCAATGTAGACCTTTAAGCTGACCATGCCCTATGAGTGAAACCTCTCTTCCATAGTTTTGGGGATTTTTCAAATAATCCTGACTTCATTTGTGAGAAATAATATGTTTAGTCCCTTAAAAAAAAACATTTTTAGAACGTATATCACTCGGTCTCCATTGTCGCTATGTATACCAGTCCGGGAAGATTATACATATACATTATGTAATATGGAAGACAATGGGGAAATGCGTTTGAATTTTTGGAAGCTTTTTCTCCCTGCTTTGTGTCTCCCAGTTTTGATCAACTCTTGCTTTTAGAATCAGACCCGAATAGCAACAAAAGTTTATACAAACTTGCGTAGGCAATGAATATATTGATATTTTGGTCAGATTGCGTGAGTAAAATGCCATTGTGTGTCGTACACCCTCCTCCGCTCGACCCAGCCAAATAAGTAAAGTTGTCTCCTGAACTAATGTGCCAATTTATATTTGCTTCATCACACCGGTATCTTGGAGAACAATCAAAATTGTAATCGGTGTGGATTGCTCTTTAATATTATAATTCATAATTGAAAATCGTTGTGTAATTTTTTTTATTTCATTTGTATTGTTTCTTGTTATTTTCAGTCTTAATTGCGGTTTTTACAGTTTTGATATATCGTTGGCATGTAATTCACATCAATGACAAATAATTAATTCTTACAATAAATATTTTTTTTCATGTATCATAAGCATAACCATCCATTTAATCGATTAATTCGAGGTATCATTACAAGCCTATGCATGTATATATGTCGAACTTATTTAGCACTGTATGGAGCCAACCATGCTAATCGGAGGTGCTTTAGGCACTATGTCCATGGATTGTGAGTAAAACATTTACAAATGTATTTTGTTGCGCAAATAATGCAAATGTCACCTCTTTCTATGCAAGCAGTGGTGTAAATTCCACGTTTTTGTAAAATACAGACCTCCCATAAGGTGGTACTTATGTTACTGACCCCAGTAAGTTGATGGACCGCTATCTCACACCGGAATTAAAATCACAAACTTCTAATTGTGAGTCGAGCGCTCTGATCACCTTACCTTGCAGTGTCACTGTACTCATTTATTCTCTCACTTTATGCCTTGTACTTTAATGTTATTTGTTCATTTAAATCTATTCCCATCATTTCGCTTACATCTTGAGAACCCAAATTACGGTAATACGAGGATGAGCAATACCTGACTAATTTGCAGAAAAGCTCCCCTTTTAAAAATTCGTGATTTTTTTTTTTGAGATGGCGTGATCTGACATGGAGAACGGGCAAAATCTTCGAATAAAAATAACAGTTCAGCGAGCACTACCTCGCTACCTCCAAAACAATACTATATTCTGAGTGAATACAAGAGTTAATGGTTGGGCATATGTCAAAGGGAAAGAGGAGGAATGGCATGCCATTAATCGCCTATTTGTTGTGGTGAATGTACAATTGCAGAGCGTGGTAGCAAGACTGATAGTTTATGGTTATATTAATCATACCATAATTATTATTGTATACAGTGCGACCAGAGCGACCTCCAGATGACATCATGAAGGCAAAATGTGGATTCACATTGAATGAAATTCACGGTAAGCTTATTCACTAAAACATTACATCCTTCCACCATTCATTCATTTGTTCGTTAAGACTCTCACTAATTGTCTATTTAATCATTCACCAATTCTTTAATTTACACGTTCTCGCATTCACCATGTACATTCGTTGCATTCTCTCACAGACATTTTTTTTCTCCTATTCAAACATTACTCGAAATATGTATTAATTCCCTCTTGCGTAGATTCGCTTCATCACTCATTAATTCACGAGCTCATTCACCAATTCCTTCATTAGTTATTTTTCATATTTAGTGTAAACTCAAATATCCCAAATCAACAAATAACCAAACAATGTATTGTCAATTTCTAAATTCATGTAAGTAAACTAAAGCCTGACTTGGGTTTTGTAAAAGCACAAGTATTATAATGCGAAACTAAGGATGTCTTAGCATTCCATCCCAAATGCTGAATACTCAAAAGTGATGTATATACACTTAAGCATATTTGGATTGTTAGGATTAACTTGAATATTCAAATTCTCAATGAGACCAACTAAGGCATATTTAGCATTCTTAGCTCGCAGTGGAAACGCCAAAATATTTGGAAATCCAGGAGCGATCATATCTATAATGCTTAAAGGGGTGGGAGAGACACCAAAAGTGTGTCCAATATTGCTCCCTTGCTTTGAGGGTTTAGTAGCAAGGGGATTGCATTGAGGATGTTCAGAAATCACTTTAATGAGTGTTTTTTTCACGTGGAAGGAAACCAGAGTACCTGGAGAAACTTCACAATAGCAAGCGAATACAACTCAATTATTCGCACAGATGAGATCACCAACCCACTTTATGCACTGTCATCTCGTAGACACGTGGTGTGGCTCTCTCGGTCATGACACGTAGCTCCATGCGCTCCTGTTACAGAGTGCAAGATTATGGGATGCAACGCCGCGACAGCAGAGTGCTCCAAACCCAACGTCACTTTCTCCGGTGAGTCAAGGGGGGACGGAGTTACAAAGGTTGGCCTCTAGAGGAAGTGTCGTGATTGAGTGGGGTTAAGTTACAGGGTTAGCCGTAAACGCACATTTAATGGGAATGTATTGATTTATTGTTTAAACCTGACGCTCCGGATGCGTACATAGAATAATGCATCTATGAATCAATAATGGGTTTTTTTCTAGCATGCACATTATAGGTAAATTTATATTATAGGTGTAGGCTACCTTAGAAAGAACATGCAAGACAATGCAGAGAAAATGCAGAGTGCAGACTAGATGGACAGCACGTAGAAGACAATGCACAGAAGTCATGGAAATGTTATGATGTATATGAAGAAATTACGAATTGTCATTGTATTTTCTCCCCACTTCAACCTTGTGCTTCAGACTGCCTTTTTGATAAATGTCACGATGCGAGGATTGAGTGTGAGAAGCCACTCAACAATCACCTGAGTCCTGAAGAAAGTAAGTGTGGCCATAAGGTGACTTTGTTTGGCTCACTGAGCCTCCTGAATTAACTACGCACCATAAATAGCATTATTGAATGACAATATTTGTGGTTTGTTATTGTAAAGTTGATCATGTTCTTCTGCTTTACTTGTGATGAAGTCTGTGAAGGAGATGGCTTCACAAAAGTCGACAACGAATGCCTAAAAACAAAAAGTTCTTCGAAGGATCTGCTCGAAGGTGAATTGCACTCTGAGTGATCTACAACTTGAGGCGTGTGGTTTAGCAGTACAACTGGGTCATCCAGACACAGCTCTAGGTGGTCTTTTAGCAAAAAAATTGATGGTCTTGAGATAAGGCTGTGTGGTATAGAAGCAGTAATGTTTGTCGGCCGCAGCTTTTGCCATTGCCGACCCACATGCCTGGAACAGTCCTTGCCACTGCACATCCGAGTAGCTACGTCGCTGCCGTCATTCAAAAACTAAAACAAAACTGCATTCGTGTCCATATCTACATATACGTGTGCACGTATGTATGTATGTATGGGTGATTGTAATTTTACCACCAAGATTCGAAATGAGAGGATAATCTAATTAATCCTGCCATTTTTACCATTTTATTTAATGCGATTACCAGTAACACACAAAAAAACTAATTCAGCAATCCAATTAAACGATGACAAATAAGACCCGGAGGCCCCGAGCTGCCAGCTATCTATGATGTCCGCTGGTCAAACCCCATATTGTGGAATGTGACTGTGACCATATGGAATGTCTACATAAACGCTTGCTAAGGAAGAAATGCTGTAAGAAGCTGGACTTCTATGGAATACAGAAGGTCTGGAGGCACAGTTCCAGCTCTTATTACCATGATGGGTAGGTAGATAGTGCTCTACTTGGAGCAGAATAACATAAAATAAGGGGTGTGGCTCTCTTATGAGTAAAATTATGAAGATGATCTATGAGCGTAGGAGTGAAGTATGTAGAAAGTTCCAGTCTGTTATGGGCTCGGCCCTTTTTTAACAGGAGGCAAGTACAGTAATGGTGGTAGTATTTGCCTATACCTTCACAGAAGACAAACGCCTGTAAAGGGCATGAACAAAGTAGATGAGTTAGATGTTTTATTTGACCTCTTGTGTCTCTTGCACGAACATCATAATCTTTGTCCATCTGCTGCAGATGTGTCAAAATTTTTAATAAGACAGATACCCAAACTCAATCATGTGGTCAAGGATCGTAATACCATCAATACCATCATTAGGTTATTTATATTGTTGTGGTTGTTAACCATCTGTTCATGATCATTGAGGTCCTTAATGATAGTGGAAAGGCCCCAGGTAAAGCTGCGTGGTCAGCCCTTCCCTCTTCACCTTGGGATGTGATCGGGATGAGCCATTTCCTGTTCAGCTTTGGTATGACGATCGCTTACTCTGTCTCCTACACTCGTCAACGTCTTTATTTGCCTATACGTTTGGGAAGCCTTTTGTATTTGTATGGGCGTAATTTCCATATGGTGCAATGACAAACTATTCCTTGCAGTTAAGGAATATGTATATGTGATTGTGTAAGTGATGATGTGCATGTACTTACAGTGAGGGAAAAAAGTATTTGATCCCCTGCTGATTTTGTACGTTTGCCCACTGACGAAGAAATGATCAGTCTATAATTTTAATGGTAGGTTTATGTGAACAGTGAGAGACAGAATAACAACAACAAAATCCAGAAAAACGCATGTCAAAAATGTTATAAATTGATTTGCATTTTAATGAGGAAAATAAGTATTTGACCCCCTCTCAATCAGAAAGATTTCTGGCTCCCAGGTGTCTTTTATATTGGTAACGAGCTGAGATTAGGAGCACACTCTTAAAAGGAGTGCTCCTAATCTCAGCTTGTTACCTGTATAAAAGACACCTGTCCACAGAAGCAATCAATCAGATTCCAAACTCTCCACCATGGCCAAGACCAAAGAGCTCTCCAAGGATGTCAGGGACAAGATTGTAGACCTACACAATGCTGGAATGGGCTACAAGAACATTGCCAAGCAGCTTGGTGAGAAGGTTGGCGCGATTATTCACAAATGGAAGAAACACAAAAGAACTGTCAATCTCCCTCGGCCTGGGGCTCCATGCAAGATCTCACCTCGTGGAGTTGCAATGATCATGAGAACGGTGAGGAATCAGCCCAGAACTACACGGGAGGATCTTGTCAATGATCTCAAGGCAGCTGGGACCATAGTCACCAAGAAAACAATTGGTAACACACTACACCGTGAAGGACTGAAATCCTGCAGCGCCCTCAAGGTCCCCCTGCTCAAGAAAGCACATATACATGCCCGTCTGAAGTTTGCCAATGAACATCTGAATGATTCAGAGGACAACTGGGTGAAAGTGTTGTGGTCAGATGAGACCAAAATGGAGCTCTTTGGCATGAACTCAACTCGCCGTGTTTGGAGGAGGAGGAATGCTGCCTATGACCCAAAGAAGACCATCCCCACCGTCAAACATGGAGGTGGAAACATTATGCTTTTGGGGTGTTTTTCTGCTAAGGGGACAGGACAACTTCACCGCATCAAAGGGACGATGGATGGGGCCATGTACCGTCAAATCTTGGGTGAGAACCTCCTTCCCTCAGCCAGGGCATTGAAAATGGGTCGTGGATGGGTATTCCAGCATGACAATGACCCAAAACACACGGCCAAGGCAATAAAGGAGTGGCTCAAGAAGAAGCACATTAAGGTCCTGGAGTGGCCTAGCCAGTCTCCAGACCTTAATCCCATAGAAAATCTGTGGAGGGAGCTGAAGGTTCGAGTTGCCAAACGTCAGCCTCGAAACCTTAACAACTTGGAGAAGATCTGCAAAGAGGAGTGGGACAAAATCCCTCCTGAGATGTGTGCAAACCTGGTGGCCAACTACAAGAAACGTCTGACCTCTGTGATTGCCAACAAGGGTTTTGCCACCAAGTATTAAGTCATGTTTTGCAGAGGGGTCAAATACTTATTTCCCTCATTAAAATGCCAATCAATTTATAAAAAAATTGACATGCGTTTTTCTGGATTTTTTTGTTTTTATTCTGTCTTTCACTATTCAAATAAACCTACCATTTAAATTATAGACTGATCATTTCTTTGTCAGTGGGTAAACGTACAAAATCAGCAGGGGTTCAAATACTTTTTTTCCCTCACTGTACATATCTGTTTATGTTTGCATGCATGTATGTAGAAGAATGTTGTACCAGTGTATATGGTTGCAGTGAGTGTGTGTACATTACTGCTCTTTTGTCAATCTACTGCAGGTCAGTGCGGGTTGAAAGCAGGGAGTGTAGTTATTGTGAAATAACAGCATAATAATGGATGTTGCTGCAATGACTTCTGCTTAACTTCCAATATCTGACGGGATCAGGCATATTATGGGTAATTTGGTCAGAGGCAAGCATTTGTTGCATCCCAATATTGGAGAGATATGCCACTCCTTACTAGTAAAGCTGGTGGCCTTAAAGTAGCACTGTATAGTGCAGAACTAACAATGGGTGGTGTAGAGCTATAACTGGGTAGCATAGTAGCAATGTTACAAGGTTTAGTTGTAACAATGGTGAAATGGAACTGCAATGATTATATTCCAATCTTATATGAATGTTTGTTTTGTTTACCATGACATGTAAAGCGTTACTCTTGAATACACTTAAGACGTTTATAATCGAGTTGGTGCCATGGATTTCACATGGACTAGAATTTGTGTACTCGTGTTATTAATTGTGGGGCCTTGTTGTATGCAGCTTGCAAGGCAGAGAATTACGTCAAGGTGCGACGTGAGTGCTTTGCGCCCGTGTGGAAGAAGCGCATCCATGACGTGGGTGAGTATGTGCCTTCAACAAACCATACTGAAATAAGAAAATTACACTCGTACAAATACATTGTGGTGAAAATTTCGCGTAAAGTTTGTAACGTCTCTCAATAGAATCACTGCTGACATCCAATAAAGTGATACTCATTTTATGGACCTCAGAGCTGATATGTAGGCATATAAGATGTACAAGACTCGATGGTCAAGGCATACAAGTGAATAGTGTATATAGTCATATAATCTACATTTGACGGTGGGCTGTCATTAATAAGAGATTTTGCAATGAAGAGCAGGTGTTCTTGTATCATCCCACGTTTTCTTTTTAACTGGATGTCCCAGCTGAAAGTATTAATTCACACTAGACAGGTCATCTTGGCATGAGTCTGCAAGAGCCAATTCCAGTCTACTGAAATGTGCGTGCTTACAAATAAACTCCCATATTTTTTCAATCAGCAGTTTAATGAGTGATGCTGCAAATTAATGTGTGTGCATGCATGCAAAATTATCATCTTTCTGTTTCAGGAATGAACAATTTCAATGTCCTCTACATGACAAATGAGTTCATCGGTAAGGCTGCTCTTATCCATGGTTGAAATCTGCAATTGAATCAAAACGTTAGATGACTCAGTAAGCTGAAGAGAAAAAAATACAGCAGCTAAATCAGATTATTGTAGTTTGGGGAGACACCTTCATCCGGCAGTGGATGAGTCATGGCTGATGATGATTATCGTAAATACAGGTAGACCTCGCTTAGCGGGACCCCGTAGAATGCAGATTTGTTATTGCGCTCTTTGTCCTGGAGATTTTTTTTATTGAATCAAAATATCTCCAAAGTGCTTACGAGTGAGATCACGCAGCAGTGCTGGCCGAGGAAACGTACCCACCCTCATCATTCGTTTGCCACTGAGTGATTTCGGCTGAGCCAACCAGACCCCACCATCTGTGTTATCATGAGCGCTATTGCCGATACCCCAATGAAGCCCTCATAAATTCGCTTAAACCAAAAAATAACGCTGTTGGGTACGCATCTCCATGTATACAGTGGTATATTGACCGCTTCTTGCGCTGAATCGATTAGCACTTCTCCAGGAATTCATCTTGAACGCTGAGTGAGGTCTGCCTGTATTATTTTAAACTATGTTTCAAGTTGTGCTGTCATCTGTAAATCTGAATATTAATAAAGGACTTGGTTAATTGGTAACTGCCAATCTACCACCATCACCTTAAATATCAGTTATTCCTATTCTTGGGTCTTTCGGTAAAGTCACGTAGATAGGTTCAATGAAAATAACAAAAAACTACGACGTTTCGATCGCAACACAAGCGGTCGTCATCAGGAGGAAAAAAGGAGGGGGACAGCTGCTGAGGCAGGCTGTTTTAAAGGTTTGAAATGGGTGCAGCCCAAGGGTCATAAACGAAGTGGGCGGGGATAGCGATGTTAATGTGAGACTAATATCGGAAGGTAGGATGGAAACATCACAGACAGTTATGACCTAAACTGGTTAATAACGTCCTTCCGATGATTGCTCAGTTTGTACCCATCTTCTCGGTTGAAATTGTGTCTGTGTCTATAAATATGGATGGCTTCATGAACGAATTCCTTGCAAAGGTTTCAGTTTGGTGTTTTAGCATCTTAACACCTGTTTTATTGCCAGAAAGGGGAAAACCCTATTATGAAAACTATTTTCTGAAAAAATGGTAAATTGAGATTGTATGAAAAGAAAAATAAAGTACAAATCATAAGAGGAGTGAAGAAATAAGATAATGCTGTAACCAGGTTACTTAAAGGAACATTAAAATATATTTTCTGAAACTCGATTGAAGAATAAAAAGGCTTGCATATAAATGGAGAATATTTTAGCCATCTCAAATTTGCTGATGGCGTTGTTAATTTAATTAGTGAAAATAAATCATGCGATAAATCCGGGTATTACATGGTTATGCGGTTTTATAAGAACGAAATGGCATACATCTGCAATATGGGTCTATATTTAAGACTCATATTTCAGATATAAAGGTTTTGTTTTCTTCACATATTCTAGACTTCATATCCAAGTTTAAAAAACTTGCTTCATGGATAGCTGTGCTTGGGAGCGTTTTCAATCCGCTGCGGTGTTCCGAGGATTCTGGCAATCATCGTAAAGTGACAATAATCTGTAAATTATAAGTATTTTCAGATTGGATTTCTAAGTGTCTGATGTCTACTGTGATGTGCAATCAATAAAGGTGCATAACTGGTATAAAACATTTAATATTAATCATTAAATGAATTTCTGCATTTATATGCCTTGCTGCCATTTTTATCACTGTTACTAAGGACTGTTGTTGTTTACAGACTGTGCATACATGAAGTGTTTTGAAAATACAGAGGAATGCATTAAGAAACACCATGAGGAAATGGCCAAGAATCCACGTAAGTACAAAAAGAGTGAGCACTAAAACCGAGATAAGTTTAAACACTCAAGTGAGCTAAAACATTTAAGTGAGTACAAAAACTTAGGTAAATGAAAGACCTTTTGAATTCGAAAACCCAGGTTAGCTACACAAGCACCGAAAATCAAAAATCCTGATGAATACAAAACCCCTAGATGTCATGGCAACAATTCTCTATAAGGTGTGTTTTTGGTAGTATTTATGTATCTCTTATATTTCCGTCAGTCAGCCCAAAAGCGACAATGGAGCCTAATTAAGTGTCCCTACATTTCCTTTAGTGTACCAGATTTATTATTTTACTGAGAACGTTTTCCTGTTAATGTATATTTATTATTTTATGTATGGATCAGTACATTTAATGTTTAACTTTTTATAGTTTTGCTGCTATTGTGCTATACGAATTTGCTAATTCAATGTTACTGATTTCTAAATATTCTGGTCTTGCCCCCAGGTATATATACGGAATTTAGTCTGGAGCATTGTGCATACGTGAGTAACGTCTACCCCAGAGGTGAGGGCTATACTCTACTTTGTCCATGTGATATTTACATACCGAGCGATAAACAGGCACAGCAAAGGCTTCACAATGATCGATTCACGTAACGTAAGAAGACCTGAAACTAAGTAAACACTTTCAAGTGGCTCTTACCAGTGGTGTCAGGATCAGCATTGGGAATAAAACGAGGTAACCTGAGGTTGATACTTGGCCAAGCACAATGATAAATAACAGGTAACGTAAGCTGACCGAGACCTTCCGCATGCCAACTCAGCCCAAACTGAGCATTGCGTGCAGTGTGTTCATCAACATCCACACTGGAGCGATAAGGCAGTGCAAGGCGTACAACCCCATTGTGTCCTGTGACAGCCTGAGAAGGAGCTTGCTAACAGGACTTGGCTTTACAGCCTGTAGTGTTTAATCAGAGGTTTTTGGAGATTCTGAGTATTTCCTGCTTTTTGGTACATATATGTGTGTGTGGAGAGCAGTAGTGTAGCGGTTAGCGTGCTGCACTAACCACTGCCCTCAACTCGATTCTAAAGTTCGATTCCCGCTCACAGCCAACATCTGTGACGATTATTTGAAATGGTGCTGGGCCTCCGCTAGGTCGACTCAGTCTAAAATGAGTACCTGGTGCGGTGTGTAAACATCGCCACTTGGGAGACAAAGATGGTCGGGCGTACTGCTGGCTACTCACCCCCTCGTGTACCGTTCTGGCTTTCATAGGTGCTCGCTAATAGCACTTGCCTGAACAGTCTGTTAAAGGCTACATGGGGGATATTTGTCTTTGTATATGATGTATGTATGGTGTGTGCATGTAGATTGTGAGACGCCAAATTGTACAACCACGATGGAGGAATGCTACGGGCTCTACCCGACTCCAAAATCTATGAGTATGTCTTTTCCCTTTTTATGATTCTGTTTGAAAACTTAAAGTTGGACTTTTTTTATGACCCTGTATTAGATCTCCAAGAAGTTATATTTCAAAAATAATTATTATAGTTTCAGTGATGCCAAAACTCTTCCGAACACATGGTGGACTGGAAACCCCTCCTCCTACCAGTCCCTGCATTATTATATAGTCATGCCCAATCAAAGGCTGGCGCCAGTTAATCAGTCTGTTACCCCACCCAGAGTGACAGAGTTACTTTTGAAATTGGCCCCATTTACTCTTCTGTCAACCATACCCAAATTTCCCTGTCCTTAGCCCGTATCACGAGTCGATCTTCAGGCTCGGGACAAATTTCACATTTTCACAAATGCTTCGGTACACTGAGACAGCGTTTAGAAAACTGGCACTTGTATTAGGCAATCCAAGATGGAGAACTGGCACTTGTCTTAGGCAAACCAAGGTGGATAACTTTTATGTTGTTTATAGTTTATTCACGACTGTAGTTATGCCGGTGTTAAATCTCTTATGTTAATGCATGTTTTTTTTTGCCAGCGTGTCTTCACAGGTTAATGTATTCACATACATTTACATATTCTCACGAGTGTGTGTTTGTGTGTCCCCTGTGCAGTCCCGATATTCGCCGTTGCTGGAGTTGCTGGTCTGTTGGTCATTGGCTTGACCATCTTCACCATCCTCAAATTGAGACGGCGCAAAGATGAAGGTCCACCCTCACCACTACTACTACCACAACACCGACTAAAACCACTACCAAACTACTTAAACGACCACCACTGCTGAGCTTCCACCAGCACATGCTAAAACCGCCATTCCTACTTTATACCACTCACACTTACTCCACCACAACTGCCAAAATTACCTAAACCTTGACTACTAAAACCACCACGATAAAACCACCACCACAATCGCTCCCACTACGACTAAAATCACTCTCACAATCATTACAACACTCCACCGCAACTACCAAAACGACCACCATCACAACTTCCAAAATCATCATCATCACCACCATGACCAATGCCAGCATCACCACCACCATTCAAAATAACTCAACCACCACCTTAATTAAAACACTTTAGCACCATATTACTTTCCACACTCTCTCTGACCACAAATATTTAACCAATATCCTCACCGCATCCAAACCACCAGGTCTGGCTCAGTGCCTTGAGATGGCCATTATGAGCTGCTTAAGACCAAAAACCAATCAGCTCCTGCATTTAAACCTGGGATTACAGCGGTGTTATTTGGTGCACAGACATGGCCTTTATGTGCCTTCTGTTAGGGACAACCAGTCCATGGTCTTTAACTGCAATGCTCTGCGTCACCTCCATTGACACACATCTTTGGTCTCCCTGTAGGGTTTGTACCTGTTGCCAAGTGTTGAGAAGACAGCAGCAGCTGTTTTTGATGGAGGGAAGAAAAAGACGCGAGTCTTTACCGACAGCGGAGGGGCTCCCCCCGCGTCTGTGCGGGTCGTGGGGGTTATTTGATTATTCTACATTGGTCAGTTCGGGTTGGTAAATGCTAGGGGCATAGACATACAGCTAAACAATGCACTTTGATGTACTGCCCTCTGCTGTGCACCACGTTGACACGTTGTATGCATGGTGGTTGCCTATCCAAGCAATATCCACGCTCAAATTTGCTTTGCTTCCAAGATCAAATGAGATTGGGTGCATTCTCAGTGACTTGGTCATAGCTTTACTTGATATGCACTATTAATAATAAAGACAATACTCAATATTTAGTAGCCTAACACTAAAATATAATATACACGAATAAAATGCTGCATTTTTCCAACATAGTTTACTGTATTGAAATATAATTAGTTTTGCCGAATGAATGTGCGGATATTTTAGAGTAACATTTTAAATCTTCAAGCAATGCTATATGACTTTGCATAACGATACGTATTGCTTGATTTAAATTAGCTTCGAACAATTGTGTTCATATACTGTGTGTTTTAAAACATTTGACACTGTATTCTGTACATAACTTACACTTAAGGCCGTAGTTGCAGTGGTTGTTGTTTGACAGGGTCCTTGGGACGCCGTTCATTGCCAAGCGTCGACCTTCCTTGTTACCCACTCTCCTCCGTAAAAAAAAAGCCCCAACAACTTCAATTGACTTGCAGGCACGCTGCTGTAATGACGCATACGCAAACACTTTAAAGTCTTCTCATGAAGCAAGCTTGAAGCCCATTTGTCGTCATCCGATTTACACAATCTGCGCTGACGGATGCGAGGTCTCGTGAAAACGATGGAGTAAAGATTCTACCAAGTCTCACGCAGAGAGGTCCATTGCCAAGTGCAATTCAGGCAATGGGGACTGAACCATGTGCCTTGTATACATAAGGGTCCCTAAAACGGCGTCAATTATTCCGACGCGAGACTGGGTTTCAAACTAAAGTAAGAATAGAAAAAGATACCACATACAAATCAAACTTCTACCCGTTCAATGCGGCCTTCATAATGGTGCATTAAAAATGTGAGGGTGTGTATATAGTTCTACTGATCTCCGTAGATTTATTTTCAAAAGGCGCTATAACGCCTGTGAGAAATTAAAAGCGTTTTGTGTAAAATGCCGACTAGAAGTTCCCTACACACAACACGCACTCGCCCTCTGGTGGTCATTCCGAGAATCGTTGAATGTTGAGTCCCCCACACCCTCTGTAGTCAAGGTGCAGGCTGGGTAATGACATGCTCGCGCCACAGCTAGTGGAAGGGCTTCCTCATGCAGAATCATTCATTTTTTTGGGCCCGATTCACGCGTCTAGTCCAATGTTGGTAAATTGCGCAGCAGCAATGAGGCACAATTCATCAAGGTGTGAACCTGGCCCATGCTTCACATTGGTGTATACAGAATCATTTATTCTGAAGGAATCCGATGAGCTATGAAGCTCTTTTTCACAGATGTCCAGTCGTGGCTGGTCAGAACGTTAATACAAAACAAACAATACAAAGCACGATATGAGTGTAAGGTAAAGGAAAGGTAAACAAATCACTTAGAAATACATACAAATAACACTAAGCAGTTTTTTTTTATAACTTACCAGGTAAACCCCACTGAGCTATTAGCTTCTTTTTCAGAAGTGACCTGACCATAAATGATAGTTCACCGAAGTGGTTTGCTAAAAAAAAGAGTGTGCGTTCTGTTACCCCCAGCTGACCTCAGATTACTTATTAACTTAACAATAACCGGATGAATAATAGACAACACTGACTAATCGCTGTCTGTAGTTCAAGGTTGCTGTTATGCTGCCCAAGCCTCAACATGTAGCATTAATAAAACGTGACGTGTGACGCGTGAATATAAAACGTATTGCCTTTAAAATAAAGCCATAATAAAGTGATGTTTTTGTAAATGCTGACTTTCAGTCTCATTTTACTTTATCGTGCTAGTAAGAACCTGATCAACTTGAACAAGCATTCAATGGTGGAGGCCATTGTACCTGTGTCATAGCCAATTCCCGTTTTTAATGGGAAAAAAAAACACTCGCCCACTACCTACCTACGAAATTTGAGAGCCTACGCTAATTGCCACCTGGTAGGATTTGTGGAGTTGTCTGAGCACTTTACCCCTGTCATTGACGCGCCAGGGTGAGTCTCAATAATGTCCTTGAGTAGCAGCAATTCCCCTCTCCCCATGCCTTAATTTAAATCTGGCTTGCCCACCTGTATTTTAATTCCCCTCTGCACGCATCGCTTATATTACGTTTATTTTTGCACATCCTTCTACTCTATACCTACCTGCACGGATCTCGTTACTTTTACCCCATCAAAAATAGGTCGCTACATAAATGATGAGAGTACAAAAAAATGTGTAGTGTTGCGGTGGTAATTTTTTCACGAAAGACTTGGGCTACCGTTCGCCTCCGTAAAAAAAACTTGTAATAAAATTGCAGCCGCAGCTTCGCAGGGAAACCGAGCCAAGCCATATGCGAATGATCTCGTTGCGTCACAGGGCCGGGGCTCTGCGGACTCAGCTGGAGCCTAGCGAACAGAAGCGTCGCTCCAAAACGAAGTGGTCGACGGTCCTTGCGACCCCAGAATCCCGATACACACGAAGGTACCGCTGCAATAACGCCGAAAAGAACACTTTGAAGGATTCTTTATGGAGCTTCAACACCGTTTTTTGGAAATCCCGATTCACGCAATCTCAGCTGACGGGGCGAACCAAGTCCCGCGAGAGCGATGGGTTAACGAATCGAACCAGTGTCACGTCGAGAGGGTCATTCTCAGTGCTGTTCAGACACTGGAGACTCAACCATGTGTCTTCTATACAGAGTGGTCCCTTAAACGAGAGCAACGTCAACTACAGGAGATTGGGTTTCAAATTAAAGTTGGAGATATTACTGCATACAAACGAAAACATCTCTTTCAAGTTAACTGCGGCATTAATAAGTGCATTCAAAATAAGTGTGCAGAGAGTTCTACTGATTGGTGCAAAATGCTAACTGGAAGTTCCCAACACTATACACACTCGCTCTCTGGTGGTCATTCAGAGTTGTCGTGTCCCCCCTTCTCCCCTTGCAGTAGAAAGTGTTAAAAAGTTCGTATGAAGACAAACCAACAGGTTTGGGATTTTAAATAGGTTCGAAAAAAGTCTGTTGGAGGAACGATGGGAGGGCAGGTGGGATGGACGTCACAAGGAAATGCGGGCTACTAGCTTGCACAAGAAAACAAAATACGTTTTGATACGTGTAGTGACATAGCGCTGTTGTACAGCAGCTGCAACTGCAGGTGGGCACTTGGCGCATACGCCGCTGAGCATATACACGGTGTGTGCCGGCAGGTTGGAGAAACTGGAGCAAGCGTCACAGTAGACCTCGTGAGGAAGCCTCTGGAACCCTTTGGGAGGGTTCGAGAAGGGAGGCGTGGCTAGGGCGGAGCCAAGCCGCACCGAGAGGAATAAAAGCAGCGGAGAGCGAGAGCTCCAGGCTGCCGATTCTGGGATTGGACTCATCTCGTCGTCGCCGTCACCATCGCCTGATCATTGCGTGGCCGGACAGTAGTTGGTTGTCCCGGTCGACGCCGTCGGCGCAACGCAGATAGGGTCGTGTCTGGGACGGGTCGTGCGGCAGCGTGGTCGTGTGAGAGAGAGGGGGCCTGAGTGGTGCCTCCTGCACCTACTTCGTCTCCGACGGAGTGTGTGCGCGACGCACGCCATCCGCACACAGAAGACACTACACAAGGATACCGGATGCTTGCATAAGAGAACGTTGATATTTTGGGAAAGAGAATTTTGGAAAACGGGAAAGCGATGTGCTGCATGTGCCCAATACCATCAAAACAAGAGGCATGATGCTGTACATCTGGGACGTTTAATGCCGAGAACATGCTCAATTACCGACAAGGGTGGCAAACATTGATGCAACGGTTACCACTTGCCATGGATCCTCAAAATCAGATAATAAATTAATCTTAAATGATTTTCAGATAGTTAACGAGATAATGCATTGCAATTATCAACATCCCACATATAAAATGTGGGCATGTTATTTTATTTACTGAATATACAATTCAGATAAAGGCGTTGTTTGTGAATTTTGTTGTGTAATTTGAGAAAAAATGTCATCCTGCAAGGTTTCACCTTTACAAGAAATTGCAATGCATTACCCATGACCTATATTTTTATTACAATGATTCCAACTAAAATGAATTGGAGCCAGTGTTGCGACCAGATTTATTCATTCATCTTGCGGTTGACAGAAAACGATCCCGTGGAAGCTTGTGTAACTGCCCCCAGGTGAATGAAACATGGAAGGTCATTCGTTGTTAAAAACAGAAACACGCAATGATTAAGACTTTCAACAACTTTTAATGTTCGTATTTGCAAATTTGTTCAGGGGAACACTCTTTGCATTTACTAGTGTCACGATGTAAAACTGTTCTTTTGCGTAAATATTCGTGTGTTCAGTTTGCTCATTTGTGTATATTAATGTACGGTGTTTGTGGGCATGTTTGCATGTCAGTATATTACAGAGTGCAAGTATTCGAGGGTGTAATCACGTGTTTAAGAGTACAAGTTTAATTGCAGGCGTATATGCATGTGTGCATAAGGTGTTTGTGCGTTTCTGCTAGTGTTGCAATACACTGCTCCAATAATAAACTCGTCACAAAGCATACATCACAGCTCACGGAAACAGACTTCACCACACCCACCCAGGGGCCCCAACGTGCTCTGCCAGGGGTTGGCCTAAGGCAGCCTATTGTTCACAAACTCAGAGTACTCACTATGAAGAGCAATCGCCCAAAAGGACTAACGGACGGACACAGCACCAAGCCTAATCTATACGACACCGTGCTTCCACAAACAGCTTGGGAATTTCATAGTATACAAGCAGATATGGCACATTTATTACGATCAATAATTATCACTATTTAGGAATGGAACAGAGTGGCAAAACAGCATAAGTTAATCTAGGAATGCCCGAGTCTCAAGAATTAGGAGGACCCAGCTTTGGGAAGTTTGCTCAATATAACGTATTTTATTGTGTTGTTTTAGGAAGTTGAAGTGTCTGGAGAAAATAACATCTGCACTGGTATAACAAACTCTGTTAAGCATAGATATTATAAAACAAAAACTTTCTTTACTGCTTAACCTACATTTCCTAAAAGTATAAGGCATATGTGATTAGGACAGAGCCGAAAGGACTTCCCCAGAACTGGAATGTATGGGCAGTGAATGCAATTTCCAAATAAGAACCTTATAAGTTATGCAATTACATTAACAATTATCTTGTCTTGATGATGAAGGGGACATTGGGTCTTACATGAGGGATGTCACAAATAAGAACCTTCAAACGATCCACAGGCCGTGTATGCCTCTACACTGTTGATTTGCATCATATGCACCACGCTGCATTGGACCATTCTAATGTGGACCTCATATTAAGGATCATGACGAAGAGCCCGGTTTTACACAACACAATGAACTCACAAGTAGGTACAGGGTTCATCGCAACTATGAAGTAGTCACGGTTGAGTTTTTCTGAAATTTCCTGCCAATCCTTGGGAATGAACGGTAAATGGCGAATACATGCATATTTGTATCCTAGCATGTATGAATAACATGGTATGGATATAATGGTGATGGATAAGCATTATACAATGCATATTACAAAACATGGTTATCATGGGAGAAATATTAAATGAAATATTCTTTACTTTTCCCTTTAACGACTGAACTCAATATTAGTCAAATTGGACCTATTTAGTTTTACGATAGGGAGACGGGGTTCGAGGCTGTCAAATAACCACATTTTGAACAAACCCATTCTGATAATTACAGGTCTTTATCTTTAAAAACAAACATTCACACCGAATCCATATATATTTTTATATATTATGTTTTTTTTTCAAATATGTGTGGAATGCAACCAGAAATTTCACATTTGCCGATTTTATTGGCTGCTGCCTGCTGGGTCATGCAACCCCTATGTAATCTTGCTTGGAACTTTATGAAATTGTACAGTATCTAAACTATGAAACAGATCCATTTCACTTGACAACAAATAACTTCACATTCAACACCACGAACTGTTTTAGTTTGAAACAGTTTTTATATACAAAACATTGACTTCAGCTTCTTTTCCGACGTCATAAGCCTTTCCAATGTAAGCAAATGGATCTTGTTAATATTTCCTGTGCGAATTCAAATTTAACGTAATGCTAATAACACTGATTCTATTTCAGTGAAGATGATGAATTGTAATTTTGGAAACCATAACTAAAACTCCACTGGTGAGGCCTCTTCATCTGGGGCCTTAATCAAGGCTCATTGGTCAAGCCCTCACTGTTTTAAACAGGTGTTAAGAGGCCTTGATCTAGTACTTTGGGCAAGGCCTAGTATTACAAGCATGGCCCAGTACTAGGTGACAAACTAGTTTTGGAGACAATGATCTAGTATTAGATCATTTTTCCTGACACTGCAGTGTGCAGCATGGTACTAGAATCTGCATTCTATACAATGAAACTTGGTATGAGAAATGTTTAATAAGCATTGTCCTAGTACTATTATCTATGGGACATGGCCTAGTCCTATGACTTAGAACTTAGAAGCCTTGGCCTAACACTCGAGGTTTTAGTGTGGGCCCTGTGTTAAACACAAAGTATTATGGCCTGAGCATTGAGACCTGGGATCCACTCCCAGGCCCTTATAATCAAGGCCTACTCATCAGGCTTGCGTTTTGGTTTCTTGGGGTTGCGGGAGCGGCTCTTAGCTTTGCAGAGTGGGCAGATGGGCGCGTTGCGGTGGATTTGCTGGTGGCACGAGAGGCAGGCCTGCAATGAGAGAGTGTGCACCATCGTTCATGATGCCTGCCAACTATCGGAGACATGGAACATCGATAGACATCCCAGGGAGTAATCACTTTCACAATCCATATAAATACTCTTTGGGTACTCATTGGTTATTTCGGTAAAGTCACGTAGGTATAAAATAAAATAAATCACAACGTTTCGATCGCAACACAAGCGACCATCATCAGGTGGAACAGATACAGCAGGAGAACTGCTGACATACATTCACAATACATGTGTGATGTGCCCAAACTATCACGGTAGCCTCTTGAGGAGGGGTTATCCAGAAGTAGATTGATTATGACAAATGCTAATCATTAACATTATATGAAAATGCATGTTATATTAAGGCTAACTGAACAAAAAAGTTAAAACAAAACATACAAATAAGTGTAGAAGCAAGAAAAATGAAAAAATATGCTTCTTGAATGAAATAGCAAACCTGAATCGCAACAATTAATTCAATCACTAGGAGGGGACGAGTCATTACATGCATAATTATTACAGAAGCGATAACTGAGCATTTGATAAAACCTGCATTCACTAACACCCTAGTTACACCACTCGCAGTCTCTCAACCTGTTATACCATAACTCGCTATTGTTTTGACCCCATGTCCCCAGCACCTTCATGGGGGGTGGCTGCTGTCGGAAGGAGGCCCCCCCACGAGCATCGGGTTTGCGCGAGGCCTGCAGTTGTTGGGCGGCAGCAGCAGCGGCTGCGAGGGACTCAGGGATGGGGGGCTCTGGAGGGTCTGTGTGCCAGTCGGCCTTCTGCTTCTCAAAGTACCTGTATGCAGCAAAAAGGGACCAGCACCAAGGGTCATTCATTCACTCACCAATACATACAAAGTATTCCCTTCTGCTTCTAAAGTACTTGCAAGGCGAGCCTAACGTTTACTCATTCACTCACTCTTACACAACACCATGCATTTAAAATGTACTCATTAATACAGGTCGTTGTGATTAGTTATGGAATCTTTATGGTGGTGCCAATCTAGAAACAGCTCGTCTTCCTCGTCGGGTGGAATCTTAAGTGCGGTGGCATTGTTGGTGTTTCATCCTGCTCAATGTGGTGCCTATTCTGGGTTATTCTGATTGGTGTTACAAGTGCAGTATTGTTATTAGTGCAGTGTCCATACTAGTGAAAGCTTATGGCTATTTGGGGAGAGCTACAGTGTCAGAAATCCTATTTCATCTTCAGTGCCGTATCATCATTGGCACAGTATCCGCTATAGAAGTGCTCGTTGGGGAGAGGTCTGTGTTGTCATAGGTCTAGTGTCATAATTGTGGTGTTGCCTTAAATGTGGTGTTGTCACAAGTATGGTTTCAAAAGTTTGGTGTTGTCTTAAGTGTAGTGTAGTACCTATAGTGTTGTCGTAAGCCTATTATCACGTGTGGTGTTTTAGCTGTGGTGTTGTTCTAAGTGTGGTGTTGTTATAACTATGGCGTTGTACATGTGGTGCCGTCATACATGGTGTTGTTGTAAGCGTACTGTCTTGATTATGTGGCACTCACTCTAGTGACAGCTTGTCATCCTGGTCCGGGAGGTCCGGGAGTCGCTCGGCCCCAATCGCCGCTCTCAAGGCATCCATGCTCTCGCGGAGCGGCCTATATTCCTCGTGGAGGCGCCGGGTCGAGTCTAGTAGCCGCGACAGCTCGCTTTCCGACTGCTTGATGGTGCTCTCCATCTGAGAACCACCAGCATAGGAAGAACACCACAAATATACCAACCATGAAACCACAATGGCATGCCGAATGCGGCAAAATCTTCATCTTTTCTCATAGCAGGAAGGCTGCTTTGTCATTAATATTTGGAAAATCACTTGAGGAAAAATATGTATAACGTAAAGGCGACCAAGCTGCTTAATTTGAAGAGCCATTTTAAGAGCCATGTATTTGTAACTAGCCTATTGCAAAAAATCTGAAACTTGCAAGCGAAAAGCAGACCGCGACGTGATATTCATTGCATCAATTCGTGTGCAATTTGTAAGGGCGCGGTGACACAGACCTATTTCATTTTAAGGTTATAATCCCTTGTTCATCATGACGTCCTTTTAACTTTGATGTCTCAATAGTGTTACGGAGATCACGTGACGTGAGGGTTCTGCCTTTGCAGTGAGGGTTGTAAGTTGACGCCCAGGAGGGGGGAGGAGGCGCCTCGCCCCCCATGTGGAGTGACGTCACCTGCTAATTATTATGAATGGGAGGGGGAGGGTGTCCATTTGAAGGATGTCACCTTATAATTATTACTGAGGGGGCTGTTCGATGTGGAGTAGTCACCTGCTCATGATTATTAATGAGGGGGGGTCCATGTGGAAAATGTAACCTGTTCATGATTAATAATGGGGGCTGGTCGACGTGTAGTGACGTCACGAGCGTTGCACACAGACATTCTTGGCTCATTATAGTAGCTAATAATGGGGGGGGGGGGGTGTCCATTTGGAGGACGCCACCTGCTCATGATTATTAATGAGGGGGGCTGTTCGATGTGGAGTGACGTCACTCGAGCATGATTATTAGTGAGGGGGGGGGAGTATTCAATATTGAGTGACGTCACCCGCTCATGATCATTAATGAGTGGTGGGGGGTGTCCATTTGGAGGACGTCACCTGTTCATGAATATTAATGAGGGGGGCTGGTCGATGTGCAGTGACATCACCAGCGTTAAGGACAGACATTCCTGGGTGATTGTAGTAGGTATAGCAACAAAGCCGCTTTTTAAAGCAATGTTTCCTTCACATATCCATCTCTCCACATTAACGATTTAAGTATTTCTAACCCAAACCATAAACTGCACAGCCTTCTAGGAGTACGTAATTTCAGCAGTATTATTCAAGACGAGCAAATTCTAAAAGTATTTAACCTGCAGTCTTGAGAATTCAAATGAAGCGTTCCTAAATTTGAATCGATGTTCTCTGCTCATTCTTAATTTAAATGACTCCTCTTTACATCACATGGGACGTGTTTCCAATCACAAATCATGCATGTGCAGTGTGTAAAAATAGATTTTGCATTTAAACGTGTTGTGTTAGCAATCTCACGGTATAAAAGTGATATTGGTATGGATGAATGTTGTGAGCACACCAAGTAGAGGATTGTTGTGTGCGTTGTGCAAGTGAACTTATTTTGTGGGTGAGCATGTTGAGTAAGCCCTGAACGAATGAGTGCATGTTGTGTAAACGAGTGATTGTGTCTGGTGTGAATGAGTCATTTGAAAGTGTGCAATCAGGTTCTGTTTAAACGAGTACACTGGTGTTTGTGTAAATAAGCAAATAGTGTATGATGTTATTGACAAGATAACCTATTGTGTCAACGGATGAGCATGCATTGCTTAAAAAAGAACATGCAGATTGTGCAAATGGATAAGCGTGTGTGCAAATGGACAAGCAGATGTTGTGTGGGTGAGCAAACTGCACCAGGTTGATGTCGGCGGTGAATTAGACGGAGTTCCTCCACGTGTGCCATTTTTCTCCTGGAGGAGCAGCTCCAGCTCCTGTCGAAAGTCACGCAGGCGTCGCTCCTCTCCCTCCAGTGCCGAGAACTCGCCTCGCAGGCGCGCCTTGACGCTCTCCATCTGTACCAGCTTCCCCCTGCCCCATCATCACCACCACCATCACCACCAACGTGATCCGCCGTCACCGCCATCAATACAAACGTCAACACGATCACCTCACCATAAAGGTTCGCGTTCACGCTCTCAATCTGCATCAACTTGCCCCTGCCCCTCATTGTCAACATCCCCATCACTGCCATCAACACCATCACCATCTGCCCCGGGAGGCATGCCTTCACACGCTTTATTGCCAACCAACTCCCCCCTCTGCATCATCTCCATTTACACCATCAAAACTACACCGGCACCTCACCCCAAGAAAATCGTTACTACCCAATTACTGCGATACCTTGACTTTCGTCCACTTGACTTTCGTCGCTTCGCTCTTTCGTCCGATTTCATCCCAAACCTTTCACGACGTCAGCGCCACGCGCCATCTTTTTCGTTCAGTCTTTGAATAGAAGTCGTTCAGTGAACATCTCTTATATTTGTGTTTATTCATATATTAATACTGTACTTTTTTCCGTGGTTATACTGTCAACAATTCAAATAAAGGCTCTGCTCTGACATTCGTCCATGCTCTGGTCCCTAACCAGACGAAAGTGCAAGGTATTCCTGTACTCAAAATTACCCGCAAATTACGAAACGTAGCAATCGGTCGCCCCCTATTGGCACACTAATGCGCGAGGTGACTCTTGAAAATGAGACCATCCTGGACAGTTCTGGCCTGGTTAAAAACGAATTGAACGAATGTTTTACACGAAAAGTGATCTCCACACACACACACCCACCAACACCCTGCCAAATAAAAAAAAACACATACACATCACCACACTCACACAGAAAAGCACGTACACACATACACGCGTGTCAACCCAGCACACAAAGATCACATGTATACAGTCCGCAAAGCCAGCAGCCACAGCCATGCACAGAATTATACACCAATACACAACTACCCACACACATGCACACCACCACCACCACTCGCCTGATCTCCTTGATGCTCTCAAGTTTACACAGAACCTCCTGCTCCTCGTCCATGTCTTAGCTGTGGTACAAACACAGCCACCGCGCCGGGGGTCAGGGTTCTCGCAGATTAAGGTCACCGAAGTCCACGTCAAAGGGGTTCGGGTAAGGCTTCAGGGCTAATGTTCGGTTTAGGATTGCTATTGTGGTGGAATTCGAGCTTATAACTGAATGGAGTCTGAAACTGGGGGCGATGGGTTAGCCTAATGGTTGTGGCATTGGGCTTATATTGAACCAAAATATTTATACGGGATGAGCTATGCAGCTTTTTCACACGATAGCGAGTAGGGATGGGATTGAGGTCAAGGTTACCGCTATGGTTAAGGTTAGACTAGGTTTAGGCCATCGTTTTTTTGCTCGACCAGTTTTACCGCTTAGGCTAGGTTTAGCAGGGTAACCGCGCTATGGTGGAAGAGCGGTATTAGCGCTATGCTGCGGTTTGCCGCTGTGGCTCAAAGCTGGTGCTGTGCTAGGGCTGGGGTTACCCCTGTGGCCCAAGGCTAGGGTGTATCTCCACGGCTGGGATGATGCACTAGGCTGGGGTTACCGCCGTGTTTATGACCCAAGCGAGCAGCTCCAACTCCAGACGCGAGTCCCTTTGTTAGCGGCAGCGACGCGCGGTTTGCGCATGCGCGTGATGAGACCCCTCCCCTCCCCCCACCCCCACCAGACACAGCGACGGAAGTGCGCGGAAATTGAGGGGAAGGGAGCGGAAGTTGGCGGAGATTGGAGGGGTTGAGGGGAGGGAGAGGGGGGGGTTGAGGGGAGGGTGAGGGGGGGGTTGGGGGGAGGGTGAGGGGGGGTTGAGGGGAGGGTGAACGGGGGGGGGTTGAGGGGAGGGTGAGCGGGGGGGGGTTGAGGGGAGGGTGAGCGGGGGAGGGTTGAGGGGAGGGTGAGGGGGGTTGAGGGGAGGGTGAGCGGGGGGGGTTGAGGGGAGGGTGAGGGGGGGGTTGAAGGGAGGGAGAGCGGGGGGGGGTTGAGGGGAGGGTGAGAGGGGAGGGGTTGAGGGGAGGGTGAGGGGGGGGGTTGAGGGGAGGGTGAGCGGGGGGGGGGTGAGGGGAGGGTGAGGGGGGGGGTGAGGGGTGGGGGGGAGGGGGGGGGTTGAGGGAGGGTGAGCGGGGGGGTTGAGGGGAGGGTGAGCGGGGGGGGGGAGTTGAGGGGAGGGTGAGGGGGGGTTGAGAGGAGGGTGAGCGGGGGGGGGGGGGGTTGAGGGGAGGGTGAACGGGGGGTTGAGGGGAGGGTGAGCGGGGGGGGGGGAGTTGAGGGGAGGGTGAGCGGGGGGGTTGAGGGGAGGGTGAGCGGGGGGGGGGTTGAGGGAGGGTGAACGGGGGGTTGAGGGGAGGGTGAGCGGGGGGTTGAGGGGAGGGTGAGTGGGGGAGGGGTGAGGGGAGGGTGAGCGGGGGGTTGAGGGGAGGGTGAGCGGGGGGGGGTTGAGGGGAGGGAGAGCGGGGGGGGGTGAGGGAGGGTGAGCGGGGGGGGGTTGAGGGGAGGGGAGCGGGGGAGGGGTTGAGGCGAGGGTGAACGGGGGGGGGTTGAAGGGAGGGGAGGGGGGGGTTGAGGGGAGGGTGAGCGGGGGGGGGGAGTGAGGGGAGGGTGAGCGGGGGGGTGAGGGGAGGGTGAGCGGGGGGGGGGGTGAGGGGAGGGTGAGGGGGGGGGGTGAGCGGGGGGGGAGTTGAGGGGAGGGTGAGCGGGGGGGTTGAGGGGAGGTGAGCGGGGGGGGGAGTTGAGGGAGGGTGAGCGGGGGGTTGAGAGGAGGGTGAGCGGGGGGGGGTTGAGGGGAGGGTGAACGGGGGGTGAGGGGAGGGTGAGCGGGGGGGGGGAGTTGAGGGGGGTGAGCGGGGGGGTTGAGGGGAGGGTGAGCGGGGGGGGGGGTTGAGGGGAGGGTGAAGGGGGGTTGAGGGTGAGGGTGAGCGGGGGGTTGAGGGGGAGGGTGAGCGGGGGAGGGGTTGAGGGGAGGGTGCGGGGGGGTTGAGGGGAGGGTGAGCGGGGGGGGGTGAGGGGAGGGAGAGCGGGGGGGGGTTGAGGGGAGGGTGAGCGGGGGGGGGGTTGAGGGGAGGGTGAGCGGGGGGGTGAGGGGAGGGTGAGCGGGGGGGGTTAAGGGGAGGGTGAGCGGGGGGGGGGTTGAGGGGAGGGTGAGGGGGGGGGTGAGCGGGGGGGGGGGAGTTGAGGGGAGGGTGAGCGGGGGGGTTGAGGGGAGGGTGAGCGGGGGGGGGGAGTTGAGGGGAGGGTGAGCGGGGGGGTTGAGAGGAGGGTGAGCGGGGGGGGGTTGAGGGGAGGGTGAACGGGGGGGGGAGTGAGGGGAGGGTGAGCGGGGGGGTTGAGGGGAGGGTGAGGGGGGGGGTGAGGGAGGGTGAACGGGGGGTTGAGGGGAGGGTGAGCGGGGGGTTGAGGGGAGGGTGAGCGGGGGAGGGGTTGAGGGGAGGGTGAGCGGGGGGGGTTGAGGGGAGAGGGTGAGCGGGGGGGGTTGAGGGGAGGAGAGCGGGGGGGGTTGAGGGGAGGGTGAGCGGGGGGGGGGTGAGGGGAGGGTGAGCGGGGGAGGGTTGAGGGAGGGAGAGCGGGGGGGGTGAGGCGAGGGTGAACGGGGGGGGTTGAAGGGAGGGGGAGCGGGGGGGTGAGGGGAGGGTGAGCGGGGGGGGTTGAGGGGAGGGGGTGAGCGGGGGGGGTTGAGGGGAGGGTGAGCGGGGGGGGTTGAGGGAGGGTGAGCGGGGGGGAGGAGTGAGGGGAGGGTGAGCGGGGGGTTGAGGGGAGGGTGAGCGGGGGGGGGGTTGAGGGGAGGGTGAGCGGGGGGGGGTTGAGGGGAGGGTGAGCGGGGGGGGAGTTGAGGGGAGGGTGAGCGGGGGGTTGAGGGGAGGGTGAGCGGGGGGGGGGAGTGAAGGGAGGGTGAGCGGGGGGGGGTTGAGGGGAGGGTGAACGGGGGGTTGAGGGGAGGGTGAGCGGGGGGGGGGGAGTTGAGGGGAGGGTGAGCGGGGGGGTTGAGGGGAGGGTGAGCGGGGGGGGGTTGAGGGGAGGGTGAACGGGGGGGTTGAGGGGAGGGTGAGCGGGGGGTTGAGGGGGAGGGTGAGCGGGGGAGGGGTTGAGGGGAGGGTGAGCGGGGGGTTGAGGGGAGGGTGAGCGGGGGGGGGTTGAGGGGAGGGAGAGCGGGGGGGGTTGAGGGGAGGGTGAGCGGGGGGGGGGTTGAGGGGAGGGTGAGCGGGGGAGGGGTTGAGGCGAGGGTGAACGGGGGGGGTTGAAGGGAGGGGGAGCGGGGGGGTTGAGGGGAGGGTGAGCGGGGGGGGTTGAGGGGAGGGTGAGCGGGGGGGGTTGAGGGGAGGGTGAGCGGGGGGTTGAGGGGAGGGTGAGCGGGGGGGAGGAGTTGAGGGGAGGGTGAGCGGTGGGGTTGAGTGAGGGGTGAGCGGGGGGGGGGTTGAGGGGAGGGTGAGCGGGGGGGGTTGAGGGGAGGGTGAGCGGGGGGGGGAGTTGAGGGGAGGGTGAGCGGGGGGTTTGAGGGAGGGTGAGCGGGGGGGGGGAGTTGAAGGGAGGGGTGAGCGGGGGGTTGAGGGGAGGGTGAGCGGGGGGAGGGGTTAAGGGGAGGGTGATCGGGGGGGGGTGTTGAGTGGAGGGTGAGCGGGGGGGTTGAGGAGAGGGGAAGAGGAGAGGGGGTTTTGAGGGGTAGGGTGAGCGGGGGGGGGTTGAGGGGAGGGGACCCCGGGGGGGGTTTGAGGGGAGGGTGAGCCGGGGGGGGGGGGTTGAGGGGAGGGTGAGCGGGGGGGTTGAGGGGAGGTGAGCGGGGGGGGGTTGAGGGGGGGAGGGTGAGGGGGGGGTTGAGAGGAGGGTGAGCGGGAGGGGGTTGAGGGGAGGGTGAACGGGGGGTTGAGGGGAGGTGTGAGCGGGGGGGGGGAGTTGAGGGGAGGGTGAGCGGGGGGGTTGAGGGGAGGGTGAGCGGGGGGGGGTGAGGGGAGGGTGAACGGGGGGTTGAGGGAGGGTGAGCGGGGGGTTGAGGGGAGGGTGAGCGGGGGAGGGGTTGAGGGGAGGGTGAGCGGGGGGGTTGAGGGGAGGGTGAGCGGGGGGGGGTTGAGGGTGAGGAGAGCGGGGGGGGGTGAGGGAGGGTGAGCGGGGGGGGGGTTGAGGGGAGGGTGATAGCGGGGGAGGGTGATGCGAGGGTGAACGGGGGGGGTTGAAGGGAGGGGGAGCGGGGGGGTTGAGGGGAGGTGGAGCGGGGTGGGGTTGAGGGGAGGTGTGAGCGGGGGGGGTTGAGGGGAGGGAGTGGTGAGCGGGGGGGGTTGAGGGGAGGGTGAGCGGGGGGAGGAGTTGAGGGGAGGTGAGCGGGGGGGTTGAGGGGAGGGTGAGCGGGGGGGGGGGTTGAGGGCGAGGGTGAGCGGGGGGGGGTTGAGGGGGAGGGTGAGCGGGTGGGGGGGAGTTGAGGGGGAGGGTGAGCGGGGGGGTTGAGGGGAGGGTGAGCGGGGGTGGGGGAGTTGAAGGGAGGGTGAGCGGGGGGGGGTTGAGGGGAGGGTGAACGGGGGGTTGAGGGGAGGGTGAGCGGGGGGGGGGGGAGTTGAGGGGAGGCGTGAGCGGGGGGGCTGAGGGGAGGGTGAGCGGGGGGGGGTTGAGGGGAGGGTGAACGGGGGGTTGAGGGGAGGGTGAGCGGGGGGTTGAGGGGAGGCTGTGAGCGGGGGAGGTGGTTGAGGGGAGGGTGAGCGGGGGGGTTGAGGGGAGGGTGAGCGGGGGGGGGTTGAGGGGAGGGAGAGCGGGGGGTGGTTGAGGGGAGGGTGAGCGGGGGGGGGTGTGAGGGGTCGGTGAGCGGGGGAGGGGTTGAGGCGAGGGTGAACGGGGGGGGTTGAAGGGAGGGGTAGATTGGGGGGGGGGTTGAGGGGAGGGTGAGCGGGGGGGGTTGAGGGGAGGGTGAGCGGGGGGGGTTGGGGGAGGGTGAGCGGGGGGGTTTGAGGGGAGGGTGAGCGGGGGGGAGGAGTTGAGGGGAGGGTGAGCGGGGGGTTGAGGGTAGGGTGAGCGGGGGGGGGTTGAGGGGAGGTGAGCGGGGGGGGGTTGATGGGAGGGTGAGCGGGGGGGAGTTGAGGGGAGGGTGAGCGGGGGGGTTGAGGGGAGGGTGAGCGGGGGGGGGGAGTTGAAGGGAGGGTGAGCGGGGGGGTGAGGGGAGGGTGAGCGGGGGGGGGTTTAAGGGGGAGGGTGATCGGGGGGGGGGTTGAGGGGAGGGTGAGCGGGGGGGTTGAGGAGAGGAAGAGGGGGGGTTGAGGGGAGGGTGAGCGGGGGGGGGGTTGAGGGGAGGGTGAGCCGGGGGGGGGGGGTTGAGGGAGGGTGAGCGGGGGGGTTGAGGGGAGGGTGAGCGGGGGGGGGGTTGAGGGGAGGGTGAGCGGTGGGGGGTGAGGGGAGGGGGAGCGGGGGGGTTGAGGGGAGGGTGAGCGGGGGGGTTGAGGGGAGGGTGAGCGGGGGGGGTTTGAAGGGAGGGTGAGCGGGGGGGGTTGAGGGGAGGGTGAGCGGGGGGGGTTGAGGGAGGGTGAGCGGGGGGGGGTTGAGGGGAGGGTGAGCGGGGGGGGTGGAGTTGAGTGGAGGGTGAGCGGGGGGGTTGAGGGGAGGGTGAGCGGGGGGGGGGAGTTGAAGGGAGGGTGAGCGGGGGGGTTGAGGGGAGGGTGAGCGGGGGAGGGGTTGAGGCGAGGTGTGAACGGG